GTATTAGCACCAGACGCATTCCAGCGAGCGATGACGACGACGGCCTGATTGCCCGGTATGTGGTGGGTTGATGCCGATTCGCAGCGGGATAGATTGAGAAGAGAAGAGAGAAGAGCACGAGAGGAAAAGGAGAGAGGCCAGTGAACAAGCAGAGCAAGAATAAAAATAGCCAGATCTAAATCTGGGTAATCTCCAAATGCAAATCCAAATACAGACTCGGGCAAGACAGATCGAGCCAGCACCTGCCTGCTGCTAGGACTAATGTAGGGTGCAGGAGCAAAGCCGCACCAGCACCCCATCCTGCCTTTTTCGGCTCAGTCTCCAATCTCCCGCCTGCATGTACTTGCACAGCTCTGCACTGCATGCACATACGAAATACACGTCCAAGTCTCACTCTCAGCACTAATATCAACAGGCACAGTCGCTACGATGCATTATAACAAGCCCAACTGGAATCAATCCCTAGAATTCATTGAATGTTAAAACGTACCTCTCTCGGCCCTATTTGCCGTGAGACCCGTCTTGCCGTCCTAGAAACAAAAGCTGGAGGATAGACGCCTAGAGAAAAATATAATCCCCCCTACAAGTACGATGCCCCCCTAACCCCTGCTCTGTCTATCGTAAGCTTGGCGACGTAAGCCAGTCAAATCCCCCCAAGATTCACCAACCCTTGCCCAGGCACACCCGCCCCAAACCCATCCTTTTTTTTCCTGGAGGTTCTACAAGTACCTACACTAGAGTAGGTATTCTTCCTTTCCCCAAGGATGGGGTTCCATCGTGTGATTTCGCGGCCTCTTCTTCCCTTCAGGAGCCTGGGCCCTGGTCCATACTATCCATAACAAGGATTCTCCTCCCCGCTCGGATACTTCGGGGAGATACTAAAGCCAAGAAAAAAGCTTGGTCATGCTGGTGGTTGCTGTACAGAACGAGCGTCTGCGATCATTTTGCCTGGTGTTTCCCAGATGCTACCCATTGGGTAGTAGTGATACTATCAAATGATTGCCCGGCCCGGCCAATCCGATCCATTTATGGCATGAAATTCGCGAATTGGCGCAGCACATGCTTGTACTGGTGGTGCTGCTGGTTTAATTTCTTTTGATATTGGTCTGGTACCACAAGTCGGAGCTGCTGCTGTACACATCATAAGCCGTCAAATACACACTTTATTGGTATGCTTCAGACTCGTACTTTTACTTGATAAGAGAACGGCCAGTCAACATAGCACGCCTGATAATCCCTGTACTCCTTGCTCCATAGTAAGTAGACACGTCGAAAACGTGTGAGTGCTTGATAGACCCCAATCAAGACCTGTACACCGTTGATCCGCCAATCAAGCAGCGGTGATAACACGGCATTACGAGAGGCTATTCGTATTATGATACTTCGTATCTATAAGTAGACAACTATGGATGCTGAATACTACCTAGTATGCATGTCTTACTTTGGAATGAATTCTATCTGGTCCAAACCGGTATTAATCATGCATTCATTGCGCCTGAGTAAATGAAGTATACTAATAATAACTTGAAGTCTCATCGTATTAATAGTAACGCATTAAAGACATCACACAATACAAAGTACACACGTATCTGAGGTATTGAGATAGTCAGGTCTTGATAAGTGTTTCATTTGATTTCATTATCACCGGCTCTATGTACTAGGCATCTGGTGTGTGCTCGCGTCCTTGTATGATATGCCATGCTCAACTTTTTATGCAATTATTCAAACACCTCTTCGTTATGCTTGTTGCTCAACCAAATATTCATAGCCAGTCTCCAACGCCAATGAGTGCTGTCAGTCGTGACAGTCTGAAGAAAGAAAAAGAAAAATGTAAACGACCCAAATGCGCCAAACCAATGCTAATCAAACATAATACACTTCATACACATGCTTTCGTGTCATTTTTAGTCCAACGCCTCGCCTGACAAAATCGTTCGCAGGATATCAGCACCAACGCCCTCGGCGATTGACTCCATCTCCTTATCGCCAACACAGCTGGCAATTCGTTTCTCATCACCGCTGGCGGCTGCCACTTTTCGACCTCGCTTGCTAGGTGTCTGTGGCATGATGAAGCTGCCAGTCTTTCCTTCCACTGCGTTAACAAGGCCCAGTGTCTCAAGACTGCCCACCACCTCTCGGAACTCGGAGCTCGACAACGGGTGAAGCACAGAGTCGCGCAGACACAGCTTGCAGTACTTATCAAAGAGTAACTTGATAGTAGGTGCCATCGTCTGTGATTTGCTTGGGGTGAGAGGCGCGCCAGCCCCTTTAGCAATCGTTCGAATGTGATTCTCGTAGGCCACCAAAGAACACAGGGCAGCCTTCTGCTGAAGATTGAGGGCCTTGAGACGCTGGGTTGTTCCGTTACTGAAGGCAGCAGCCGTCACTTTGTTTAAATGTCCTATCGATGCTCGTGGAGCCGTCTCTGCGGTCAAAGCTTTTAGTGACGCTGTGGTAATCTGAAAGACGCTGCGAGTAGATCCGCCAGCAGAGTTGCCGTTGATGTTCTCTCCAAGTGGCTTTTTGGTAGGTGTTAATTGCAAAAATTTCTGTCGTGCTTCCTCCTCGTGCTTTGACCGGGTCTCTGCCTCTACCAAATCCAGGGCTCGGCGGCAGATCTCAAATGCTCGGCGCAGGTCTCCGGTCTGGCTTGAAACTTTGCGGGAACAAAGTTCGATGGCGGCAGGGTGAATGAAGGGAACAAAGCCTTCTTTTCCCTCGGGCATCAAGGATTTCAGTCGGGTAATGATGATATTTTTGACCTGAGCGGCGGTATATGGGAGAAAGGGGAGTAGCTCAGGCTTGAGATTCTTCGATTTGAGGCGCGGTAAGAAGCGGTCGGTAAGATCCAAAGCGTTTGCAATTCCAAGCAATAGCAGCTTAGAAGACTTTGCCAACGACCATTCGAACAAACGGTAGAGACTCTCCAGATCCAACGTGAGAATGTGATCAATTTCATCCAGGGTGACGAGACATGTGGCAGATGATTTGGCTTTGGAAAAGAACATTTTCTGTAGAGATGAGATGGCTTCAGCTTCTGATAGATCGCTGCCGTCTTCACCGAGGGCGGCTAGAAGTGTGTGATATAAATCTTTTGATGACTTGATACTCATGCAGTTGACATACGCGCTGCGAACTCCTTCTTGCTCAGAATAGGTCTTGGCTATGTTGGTGATCATGGCACTCTTTCCAGTGCCGGGCGGACCACTGATGTACATGCATCCTCCAGGAGCTGATGTCGATACGCGATCCAGGAAAGTCGTTAGCTGCTCTCGCTCTGCTTCCCTTCCAACCAACTGGCCAGGTTCTGCTCCTCTGGCAAACAGCTGTCGAGCCTGGTGATAGACGGTCTGGATTGTGGTGGGCGTAAGAGGTGACTGGGGAGTGAGTCGTTTGAAGAGCTTGCCGGCCGACATGACCGCGTGCCGCGGCGTACTCGGATAAGAGCCGAGCACATCTCGATGTCGAGGAGCGGAGGGCGTGACAGGATTGGATTTCAATGAGGTTTGTGACACGCTCCGCTTGAACTTGCGTGGTGATGGCTCCTTCAACACCTCTTCGCCTTCGCTGTCATTGTCGTTGTCGCTAACATTTTCGTCGACAACATAGTCGGGGTCCTGGTTCTCATCGTTGAAGGACACGGACGCCAGGCGGCATCGGCGAAGTCTTTTGCTGGGAGAACTTGGTATGACTGAAAAGAGAGGCGTGGTTTAATATCAAGGGAGACACGTGAGTGTGAAAGAGCCACAGCAGGACTTACCATCTTCGACGATGCTGCGCGTCCGCTTTCTCAACTCGGAAGGACGAGCCATTGCAACTGGTGATGAAAAACCTGTAGTCAAGGGGCTCCTTCCAGACAAGTCGCGGAAGATAAACGGCAGCAGCGATTATCAGGTTGGAAACGTCACCGGTGCCTTCTAGTTTGACGCAAATGCAGGAAAGGAAAGACAAGATGCAGTGCAGTTGCAGGTTAGGAACAAAATTGCAGGTGCAGAGGGTATTATGAGGAAAGCTGCAGCTGTGGCCGTGGAGCTACAAGAGAAAGGGCGTTTTTGGCGTTGAACCAGGGGTGTTTCTGCGTACCCGCTAAATACGCGCTAAAGTGCCTGCCGAAGACCAGCGGGTCGCGTTTTTTGGTGCGCGATGATCGCGTTGATAGACGCGAGAAATCCATTAGGCGGGGATGTACCGCGAATCGCGCATAACGCCCTACAAGTGGGATGTCGGCCTTCTAAAGAGATGTCTTGCATGGCACAGCGAAATGTAAAAGCAATTGGCTAGCCAGGCCTCGGACTGCTTTTCTGCAGTTGGTCTTCCATTTACTTTACTGATTACTATACATCGAAATACGAATTTCAGTCCATTGGTGTTGAAATATTACACGGAAAAAACATGGAACCCTTGTGTTTCTTGACCATACTGGCTCTCTACTTTACCGCTTCAGCTGCACGCGGTGCTCTCGAATCGCCACGAAAATGTATCGACGTATTCCCTTGATACTTTGTGACCAAACTCGGTCCAAAGCTTCTTAAATTGCCGATATCTATGGAAGAAGGATTAAATATGACGGAGCTGACAAAACCACTTAACACCAAAGGCAAAGCTTTGTAGCGCGGCGCGTTCATATCAAGTAGGGAAAGAAATCTTAATAGCGAAAGTAAAAGCAGAACCTTAATCTAGAGCACGAGATACATGATCAGTAAAAGCATCGCTGAATAATACGGCAATCTCGACCCTTTGGCCCTGGCAGCAGTTGAGCTCTGGAAATCCAGCTCCATACCTGAGCTACTAGGGCAGCTTTTAGCCCAGTGCACCCTTGTTGGTAGATCTCAAGCTCCCACCAAACCAATCAGCTCATTGCGTCATAGAACCAATCAACGTCAAAGCGCAACTTTCATCGCCTCCCTCCAAGTCTCAACCAACCATCTCCCTCTCCCTGATTTTCTTCCTTCTCTCAAAAATCATCTTAAAGTAATTCAAACGGCCACAGTACCGCCAAGATGACGACTTACATCCCAGCCCTCACAATACCTTCAAACGTGTTCCTAAATCCCGCCTCCTCCATCCTCCTCCCCATCGCATTGGGTACTTCCGTTGGCTTTGGAACTCGACGTAAGAAAATGAAACTGCGGCCATGTAAGAGTTGAAAGAAATAACCATAAATCATAGCCTCCAAAGCGCAAAAGACATATCTCGCATTGAAGCAGCCTCCTTTACACCCTCCGCCGTGGGTTTTCGGCCCAGTATGGACCGTTCTTTACGGGTACATCTCTCCCTCTACCAGACTCGTTTTATACCCCATGTCTTGAATCTTTATCATCACTGTTTCATTATTCATATAATCGAATGACTAACCAATCCTCCAAGGCTTATGGGATACGCCGCTTACCGTGCTGCATGGACCGGCCTCTCACCCTTCTCTTCCCCACAGACCATCCAGACAACGAAGCATAGCATGACGGTTTACACCATCCAGCTGGGCCTCAACCTCGTCTGGATGCCGCTCTTCTTCGTTGCCAAGCGCCCCATCGAAGCCACCGCCGACATTGTCGTTTTGCTGGGCCTCAACGGTTATCTAGCTTCGCTGTGGGGATCAATCGATTCGGTTGCGGCCTGGTGCCATGCTCCCTATATCGCATGGCTGGGGTTTGCGACGTATCTGAGCGCTGGCGCCGGATACCTCAATGACTGGAACCTGGCGGACAAGGAGGAGACCAGAGATGATGTGAAGCAATAGGAAAGCTAACATACTTATCAACACATCAAAATGTCACGCTACATTGGGTGAAAACGTGCTGAGCGACTCGAATTATATCAATCAGGATAATTGAATTATCTATCGTGGGATCAACATCATCCTGTATATATCTATCACTACTCCATGCCCTTTTATAGCCCATATCCCCTCCTTTTTGGTACACCAACACCCAACCTTTAAAAATAAAAAATGCAAAAAAGCGCTCTTGGAATGCCTCTTAAACATGCAAATCAACTATGCATTATGTTTTTGGCCATGAGAAACAATGCTTCGAAGAATAGTAAGAAAAAATCATTAGAGAAAAGAATGAGAAAAGTTTTTCGTTGAATATGTATATCAACCATGGCAAATTTATTGCATGGGAAGATGTCGCTTTAGCCCGTCATAAACCATAAAGATAAAGGCAGAGCTGGGGGCTGCTCTAGCACAGGTGATGCCACATCCACGATACAGTCCTCGCAATCCGTGGTGCCTCCAAATAGCTATGCCCTCATTGAGGAAGCTTCGACGCTGGCCAGTGCCGACAGGTGACGTTTGCATACGAGACTTGATGGTGTCGGCGGGAAAGAATAAGAAATTGTATGTGACACCTCCTGATGCGCCGGCAATAGCTTGCTGCCATAGAGGGAGAGGCTTCGCAAGAATCGCCTCCTTCTCCTTTTCAGAGGTGGCAGAACGAACCTTCAGCTTATAGAATGCTTTTGTGGCCGTCTCTTTGGCTCCGAACCAAGCAGAACAGCCACCGGCTTCTCTGATGAGCGTGCCAAGCTGGCCGTGCCAAAAGCCCCTGATCCCCTCGTGCCGATACACCTCCCGAATAACAGCTACCGGCCGTAGAGGGGCTGCGGGTGTTCCCTCTGATAGCGCTGGGGCTTGAATCCTGCATTTGACAAGCTCAATCGGCGTCAGGACAAAGGAGGTGAAAACTCCAGATATAGCACCAGTCAGCCATAGCAAGGGCAGTGACAGCTCCTTGTCACGAGAAGCCAACTGAGCTCGGAAAAGAAGCTCTCGTCCCACGTTCTCGAATAGAAAGAGACTGCTAGTCTCTGCAGCCGCTCCAAACAGAGGGGCGCTGATTCCCCTGTACAGCCCGCGCAGGCCGTCGGATTTTATAGATTGTCGGAAACAGTCCAAGGGGCCGGTGTATCTCAGCGGTAGATGGTCGGGCTGGCTCTGCAGTCGAACCTTGACAGTGTCGAAGGGGTATTCGATGTATTTTCCGGCAATGCCTGCGACCTGTTGCCCAATCCTATTAGAATTTTCGCTTCATACCTTCTGGTTTCTTGAGCCGTTGCTGTACTTACAGATCCATAGATGACGTCTTCAGCAGCTTCCAAGGTGGCAGACCGAACTTTTTCTTGAAGCGCCATTTTAGGTTCGACTGCTACCGAAGTAGTCGCATCGAGGATGGCCTGGGCCATTCTGGGGATAACTCGGCGTCAAGAGAAGAATGATGCAAAACAGAAACTTTTCTTTCTTCTCCCCTCAGCGCACGTCTTTCAGTCCTAGCTTTGCCCCCTCTCCTGTGGGATCGGGGGTTGAAAGCAGGGTTGAAAGAATACGGCGAGCAGGCAGAGGCTGGCGGCGCAGCAGAGAATTGCGAAAGCGCGGGAGCTTTGACGGCGATGAGAGCGAGATCCAGAGACAGCGGCGCGGGAGCAAGGATGTTAAAAAGCTTTAGACTTGGGGCGACCAGACTCCTCCGTGTGGGGTCAAAAAGATAGGACGTTGAGCTCGCAAGAAACGGGAATCCACACCGACTTCGCGCTGTGCTATGCTACTGATGCAAGGTTGCGCAACGGAAGTGACACCAGGATGAGAGGCAGAGTTTGTCGCAGTCCAGAGCAGTCGCGGTATTTATCGAAGCAATGAGACTAGGTTGAAGAGTAAGAAAAGGAGAGAGACAAGGACCAAGCCCTACATTGTGAGGATGTGGCTCGGCTGCATGGAGAAACAGCGTCTTTGGGTTTAACTCGTCGATCGAATTTGCTGTTTCGACCCGGCCTTGTTCTGACTCCCAAGGTGTGACTGTAAAATTTCAATCTTATCGCGGCTTATCGATAGGATGCGAGCGAGCGGCGGTTAGGTCCAATACGCTGCTCTGATTCGTGTGCCTGCCGAGATCGGTTACGAGGAGTACAGGACCCCGGCACTTGCATGCGTCTTGTCCAGTTGAGTTAGGCTGGAGTGCGCCTTACTATACCTACAGCGAAAGAAACAGAACACCCAGAATGCTGAGATTCCCGACAGCTGGCGATCTAGTGAGGATATTCTACTCATGATAGGCGGTATATAGCGCTGGATAAGAATAGAACGCACAGGCAATCGCAGAAACTGCTAGTTCGCTCATTACCAGAGCTATAGTATTTCCCATCGGTATTTCGTACCACGACTCGAGAAGCACCATAACATTCCATGGTTTGGATTGTGGAAACTATGGCCTTGTACCTTTATAGCACCTCAAGGCGCCTAATTGGCACGGCTCCTTGCTTAAGGCGTGATGCTTGCACGCCTCTGCATCCATGCTCCTTTTCACATTGACGCCTCGGCAATTTAAACGAGCAACAAAAACCGCTCAGCTGCATGATGCAGGGAGGCCGCCCAGGCACGACTTGGCTTTTTACTCACACACCATACTGGTAGTAATATGTGATGTTGTAAGAGCTTCCTGCAATGGACAAGTCATTAATGAGCGAGCTTTTGGAAGCTCTTTTCCATGATGGCTAGTGCAATTAGGCTGATTGTAAGAAACACCGTACTTGACGCCCTATACAAGGTAGGAAAGGCGCTGTCTCCAAGAACGGCGCTGTCAATAGGCACTTAGAAGGGCGTGGCATCCTGAAAAGCCGCTTTCATCATCATGAGAGCCTGACTGCGATATATTCTGCGCCTTTGCTGGAACTCTCCTGGGCCTGAAGCTTTAGCCTACCCACTTGCTCCATGATTGAGTTTTCATCCTAGCCATATTCCTCTCTTAGCCTCTTCTAAGAGAATCCTCTCAAGAGTGCCTTTTGCGGATACACTTGAACAAGAAGCACGTCACTTATACAAAATGTGGGCAATTATTGCTCAAAATCTCTGCTTTCAACTTATATAACTTATAGTTTCTAGTTTCCTATGGCTGAGTAGAAACCAGATACTGCGATACACAGTGCCAATCAAGCCTGGGTTGAAGTCCCAGTCTGACAAAATCTGATCCTGCACATATCCCGGCCTTGTCAAGCGGGTCGCCTTGCCCCGCCAGATTACGACACTCAATTCCATCTAATTTCTTATCAGATGATCTGATAATTTTTTCTTGATCCAAACGTGAAGCTATACCCACCTAGCACGTCGTATCATTATCCACATTGGTACTAATATTACGCTTGCAAGTATCATGCAGTGCGAAGTCTTGTAGCTACTTCTTTCCATTGAGACTAGAAACTCACTTGGCAATCCATTTGTTTCGTAATAGTTGAAGTTGTTGACGACGATCCCTCTCTAACCGGAACTTGATCAAGGCTCATGCCTGTATTGATGAGTGCTCTAGTTGATAGAGGTGGGTAGTATCTATATACGTATTGCTAGGTAATCATAAAAAGATGTCCTTCCCAAGTATTCAGCACCGCCGGAGTTATATCTAGTCCCATTATTACATCGGCCTGCCATCGAGGCATCAGTCGGCCATACGAGCGATTTGTACAATCCAGTCTGGCGGAGATCCGGTAAGCCCGAGGCTACAAATATACCGCTTCATCGTAATACCTACTCATACTGTTATAACCTCACCGCCAGTATGTGTTGTACATTCCTCTCCGAACTATCGTAAACCCCTCTTTTACTGCTTCTTCTTATTGTCCTTCTTCGCCACTTCCTTCTCGTCATCCCAATCCCTCTTCTCGGCATACCACTGCCCCGCCTGCAGCACAAGAATACCCACCAATACGAGCGCAAGAATCGTGTTGCTTGCCGCAAGCACCTTCAAGCTGTCCTCTCTCCCCAGGACAATCTCCCCGTCGAACCGACCCTCGGCAGACTTGAACTCTTCAGAGTGCCAGAAGCCGGAGCTGACGGTGCGCAGGCCCTTGACAATGTTGGAGATGTAAACGGCAACGCCGATGATGTATAGGATGAGCGAAGCGCCGTCGAAGAGGAAGTTCGCCTCGCTGGGGCGGAAGAGCTTGATGAAGAGGCCGAGGAAGCCCACGCTCATGATGATGTTGAGGAGGCGGCCGATGAGCGGGGGCGACTGGTGAATGAATTTGAGGTGCGTCTCGAGCTGATCATAGTAGTCGAGCGCGACGGGCTCCTTGGTCCAGAGGAGGGGGAAATCGTACGGGAACGACGCGAAGAGGATGCCCAGGAAGAAGCATGTCGCTGGAGAACCAATTAGCACAAGACATTGATGTGATCGTCTGCATCGTCATCCCAGCTCAATCAATATGAGGCGAGGCAGAAGTGTAAGGAAAATAGGGTGGCATACGGCCAATGACGAGAAAAGTCGCAAAGGACGACGATCCTCGGTAGTCCTTGGACTTGGTGGTCTTGGACCAATCAATGTAGGAGCTCATGACGGCCTGGAGGTGCAAATAGCACTGATGCACACTAATATATATAGACGGAGAAGAACAAAGGTGAGGCGAAACGTCGCTGTCAGGATCAAGGCAGCCGCAATCAAGTTCCGGCGCAACTGGAGCAATATGCGTGTGGACGTAGAGGCGAAAAGGAAGAAGAAAAGAAGCTGTCGTGTCCCGCTATTTGGCTTACTCGCTGTGCGTGGGGGAGCTGAGTGTGGGGAGAAGGTTCTTTGGGAGGTGCGTTTGTTAGGAAATTTGGAGATGCGCCTACAAGTAAGCGTGCGCGAGCCCAGCTGCACTAACAGAGCAACCGTAGCGGTACATGCCACCGCACCGCAGAGACCCCGAAAATCCAACATCTTGGCGCTGAGCTGATGGTTGCATCGTCCAGATAGCGGCGTGTTATCGCTGTACATAAGCCTGCATTTCAGCTGCATCCCGTCTGCAGTCTCTCCCTTCTTTCACTCTTAATCTCTCCTTCTTTTTCTCTTTCGTATTCTCTCCAGTTGTTGATTTCAGCCTGCTTGATCTTTTACTTTGCTTGCTTGTCTGCTTTTTCTTGAATTCTCATACAGCGCTTGTCGATTTGCTGGCCATCCGTCTTATTGCATTGCTGCTATTGCGCATTTCTCAAAGTCTACTTCGAATCGCAGCCTCAATTCCTCATTCAGATACAAATATACCTTATCTGGTGATCGATCCATCAATCATCTGTGAAAACACACCCTCCTATACCGCCTACCATGGGCCCTTCCGTATCACTGCTACTGCAGCTCCTTCTCTTCATCCCCATCGTCCACGCCACCAATGCCACCGTCTCAGTCTACGACGAGTCCAAGAAGTACAAATATGACGGGTGCTACAATGAGACAACCCAAGTCCCTGGCTCGGCCGATACGCGTGCCTTAGGTGGCGGAATCGAGGAAAGCCTGCCGGGTCAGATGACGGTGCCGACATGTCTTGCTTTCTGCGGCAACGGCAACACAGAGTACCGATATGCTGGGCTGGAGTGGTCGAGGTAACAGTTCAGCCATTGGGTACGATGAGTCTCATTTCTATACGGGAACTGACTGTATCGAAATGTGTAGAGAATGCTGGTGCGCCCAGACACTGTCTGGAATCGCGGAGAAACTGGACGACACGGCTTGCAATTACCCTTGTGAGGGCGACAATACAACTGCCTGCGGTGGCTCTTTGAAGCTCACAGTTTATCGTGTGTCTTTGGCCAGTGGGTTATTTATTCCAGGCCTGCTTACTCTTGTCTCGACAGGACTGGTGATGATGACGATGATGCTATGATAATGCTGCTACTGCTGCTACTGCTGATTATGTTGATATGGATTATGATTATGATGATACTTTTTCTTTAAATCTCTTTCATTAGTATCAATAGACTCTCATTTTCTTCCTTCAGAAGTCAAACTCTACTGCAATTAAACAGCTATATACAGCCTTATAAACCCTAAAAGGGAGACAGCGTTGCTCAAGAGTTATAGAAGAATCACGTAAATAAATAAGGGAGAGGTTATCCAGCATCTCACTTCTATTGTCCAGTATCCCAGCTATAGTTCAACAAGGCAGCTTCGCGTAACGACTAACCCATACTCTTCAAGAGGGTTCTAACTTTAGTTGTAACAATTCGCTTCCTGTAAAAAAATACAGGCTCTCAAGGCTAACGGCAACTTCTTTTACAGGTTTCAATCCTCAAGTGCCTTTCGCAACGCTGCATCGCAATGTATCAAGGTAGTATCAAAAACCGGCACAGGTACATTGGCGTGATTGAGGAGCATGCCAACCTCAGTACAACCGAGGATGATGCAATCTGCTCCTCTTTCCACCAACCGTCTCGCAATGGAAATGTAAGTAGCCTCACTTTCCTTGGAGACAATACCGCAACAAAGTTCCTCGTAAATGATGCGATGCGTCTCCTTACGATCTGCTTCGTTCGGGATAATTGGAGAAAGGCCTGCTGCGATAAGCCGATCTTTGTAGAATGGCTGCTCCATTGTGAAAGCCGTGGCCATCAAGCCCGGCGACTGGAATTTCTGGTCCTGAATACTAGCAGCAGTGGCGTCTGCAATGTGCAGCAATGGAATTGATACGCCCTTCATCATTTGTTCAGAAAGTTTGTGCATAGTATTTGTGGCCAGAATAATAAAATCAGCTCCTCCCCGTTCGAGGGCTTTTGCCTCTTTGTTCAAGATATCTCCAGCGTCCTCCCATTTGCCGCTCATTTGCAGTTCTTCTATCCGAGCAAAGTCCAGGGAGCGAATGAGTAACTCGGGGGAATGAAGCCCGCCGAGGCGTTGTCTCGTAAGGTTGCAAAGTTCTTGATAGTAGATCTGTGTCGACGATGCCGACATGCCACCTAATATGCCTATAGTCTTCATGGTGTCGTCCGTAAGTGGCTGGAAGAGTCTTGGTGCCCTGGGAAATTTAAGCTAAAATTCAAGCTTCGCCTTGCTGTTCTACCGCACGAAACTTAGCACGGCTATGCGAGATTAAATCTCATGTATTGTGAAAAGCGTGTTGACTCCAGTGATCGAAACCGGTCATGAGTCACCTCCACAGGGTCTTGTTCCTTCAAGACCGGCCTAGCCAGACAGCAAGCTTAACAACCGATAGCCGGAGATGTTGACCCCTGTTCGCTACGTTTCTCGTGACAAAGGCAAAGTACACAAATTTTACGTTAAAAGCTAACATAAAGGGAAATCTTCCCCCAACAAGGTGAAATGACCCAAGTGGTTCTAAGCTGTAATAAATACTGCTGAAAGGCTGAGAGGGCCAGAGGAGTGCGCGGGGTGCGAGGAGCCGGAGCCGATCTAAGAGTTAACTGCGATGCATTGCGGACCATCGGCGGTCCTCCGAAGGGAGCTTAAGCGGGCTGTTGGATAATAGATTCGCCCATCAATTAATGTTTTGGGTATCCCCATAACCGATTTACAAATATCTACAAGAGCTACGATATAGAAAATCCAACCAAGTTAAATCTGCAGCGGTGCTAGCCCTCTCTCTTCAACTGCGGCTTGCATGGCCACCTTAATGCCGCTGACAGCCAATTTCCAAGCCCGGCGCCCTCTACTATCAACCCCGTCCTGATCAACCACCATGCTTAACCATTTAATCAAGGTAACAGCTTTACTCAAATCGCGTTCTTCTTTGATGACTTTGACCAAGTATCTTTCCAAAACGTCAACATCTCTCTTGTGTGGTCCCGCCTTTCTCGTTTGGGAATGCCATGCATCCACCATGTCTTTGATCTCTGGTAAAGAAGTGATAGAGCCAGAGAAGGATATAACTGGCGGTAGCATAGGAAACTGAATTGTTCTCTGGCCTCCTGGCAACATACTTGTTTCTTGGTGGCTTTTCGCAAAGGGTATCTCCAGCCCTGACTGCAGGGCTAACAGGCGCCTTCTGTGATCTGCAATTACTTCTCTCCTGACGTCCTCGGGTAGCTCTGCAAGGAATACCGGATCCAGTTCTTCAATTTCTTCAGGTTGAGCCTCTACTGCTGGGCCCGGAGGCCGAAAATTGGTTTGGACCATTCCTTCTTGAGCATCCCGTTGCCGTTGGGCCTTGCTAAACATACCACGAACCCCGCTAGCCTTCGTTGGAGTCGTAGGTCTTCTGGACTGAATCATTTCGGATTTCCTTGGTGAAGGCCGAGGCTGCAGAGGCTCAGTCGGCTTTCGTCCATACAACGCCAAGACTTCGGCTTTCATATCATCCGGTAGCGCGTCAAAGACTTCCATATCAATTTGAGAGGAGAGCCGATCTGCTAGCATTGGGCTATTGGATCTTGAATTGCGAGCCTCTACGATGGATTCGGTAGCCACTGCTTTGGGACGTTGGGCCATGAGCTTGGTGCGGATACTGTTTGGTAATTCAGCCAATACCGCAGGATCAGGGCTGCTTGGCAAAAGAAATTGCGTGCTAGCGGCGTTGAGACGAGCAATGGCGTTTATATCATGAGATGCGTGTTTTCGGGGCGTCGTAAGATCATTCATCAGTGGATTAGATTCCGACTCAGAAATCGGCCTTTTTCTCGAGCTTTCTGGCTCTTGCATTCCATCAACTGGGCTTGCTCTCGAATGTTTCGGTAGAGAGACTGGCTCAACGAACGGGGCAAAGGCTATCTTTCTTTGGCTTCCTTCCGCAGCCAAGGAATTTACTTTGATCGGCTCCAGCTTTGTCATCTGAACACCAATTCCTCGAAGATCTCCAGGGCTGAATCGAAATGAGCGTAATATTGAGACTGCTTCTTTGCCAATGGTTTGGTAGTCATGTGTTGCGACACCAAAGGTTGCACTCTTGTTGAATGAGTCGCATTTTCCGTGCCCCAAATGTTTTGTTGGATCCAACGGCGCATCGAGAGCGCGCCTCATAATCTTCATTGTGAGATTCTTCCCCTTGACTTGCTCATTCACTAGCCGCTTCTCCAATTCTTTACAGAGATTATAGACGAACTCTTCAGCTTCTACTTGGCTAATGAAGCGTATCCCCCAGTTGACTTCTGCCGACACGGACTTCCGAGGAGGCTGTTCTCCAACCTCTGATCGATCAATGCCACGAGCGTAGTCGTAGAGCTTCTCGCTCGTCTTAGGCCCTAGAATTGAAATGAGGCGATCTTTTGGTACGTCTCTGAGGTCTTTGACATATTTGACTCCCAGATCTTCCAGTTTCCCGCCGATGCTATATGCAACGCCGGGCAACTGTTCAACTTTTAGATCTCCAATAACGTCCAAAACTTGCTCTGGCTTCAATTGAAACTGGCCAGCAGGCTTGGCTTTCCTCAAGGCAACCTTTGCTTGCAAAATATTCGCACCGATGCCAATGGAAACGGCACAACCAGTTTCTTCTTTGATCTTGTTGCGCAAGTTCAACGCCATCTCGTCGATTTTTTGCTGCTCCTTCCAAAGGCTACTCTCTTCAATACCGATGCCATGAGACTCAGCCTCTTTAAATATGATATCAGTGACATCAACCAAGGCCTCGTCGACGCTTACACTCTGCACAATGCCACCAGCACTGATAATCGCCCCATAAAATTGGCGACTCACTTCTTCGTATGCAGGGAAATCATATGCCAAGACTTTGAGGTCAGGGCACAACTCGAGAGCTCTTTTCATCCACATGCCATTCTTGACGCCGAATTCTCGAGCAACATAATTGCAACTTGCAATTTCTGAACCTGCTCCTGGGCTGTGAGCGACAACGCAGGGCTTGTCCAGATATTCGGGATATCGTTTTAATGAGACTGCACAGAAGAAGCTATCAAAGTCTACATGCATGATGTATCTTCTCGAGCCAGGTCGTCTTGTCTTCTTTTGGTTTGACAGTCCTTTTTCGGACGCTAATCGTTGCATCGACGATTTCAAACTGGCTTTCCAAGTTGAGAGATGATGGAGTCTGCTTTCGGAGTAGAACTGTTTTAGAAAGTCAGGATTGGCCGTGGAAGACTGTCTTATTCTCGGATCCGAGAGTAGCCAAGCATTGTGCTCTTCTGAGGTCATATCTTTGAGAGGGCTTTTCGATGAATTTGTCAAGCTGGCAGGGTTGGGTGCTAGTTGCGCCTCAGGTTCGACCTTGAAATCCCCATCGTCTGGGAGATTTGCAAAATAATCCATTTCATCCCCCGACTTGGAGGTTACCAGTCCACTTGCGTTTGGCAGTATGTCGACGGATCTCTCGGCCTGTTGCAAAGGAGTTTTATCCAATTGGCTTTGTGATTCAGCCTTTATCTGATCCGTGTAAAAGCTATTCTCTGTCTGCTCTTTGTAACTGCGCCTTACGGGAGATGGGCTGGTCTGAGTAAGCCCACCGCTGCTACCAAACATCAAGACCTTTTGGCTTGGGCTTTCAGTTATTACTCGATAATCAGTCCACGGTAGGAGCTTGCCAGCTTTTATAGAGTCAACAATCCATGTAGGCTTCACAATTCTGTAACGGCTAAACTCAACAGCTTTCTTTAGCGTTAAATTGGCGGTGATGATATGAGTAGCCATGGTTTTTGAGTCGAGATATTGCAGAAAACCACCACCATGCTGCACAATATCGTGGTGAAGTCTGCCGTTGAATGCGGTGTTAGCGCTTTCACGACCAGTGACTACGGAATGCGAAGAGGTTACTCACACATGAAGGGGCGGCTGAGTGTAACCATTAACATGGGCAACGATCCCTTTGAAGATAGGCGGCTTGTCAGACGAGGCGCGTATATCGGCATCCAAGTTTTGAAGTTTGATCTTCTTTCGACGAAAGTAGTCGCCAAATCCACCGAATTCACTGCCGCCATACTCATCGCCCTCCTCGTCATCAAACACATGGTTTTCAATGCGCTTCCTCACCGAGGAGGAATTCTTTTCCAACGGGCCATTCATCTTGTGCAATGATACAGTAACCACACTAGAAAGAGTTTGAAGCTGGGACTCATCGATTCGTTTCTGGCTGGTGCACGACTTCAGGTATCAAAAGCAACGGCCGCCCGTGAAGCCCCACAGTTCACTCAACAAAGCAGGAGAAACGAGTTGTTCGGCGCCCTTGAGGCGGCATTTTCAGAGGCGCGGTATTCTGGGATGTGCTTCATAAGCGGCTTATGCAAGGCTGCTCATGACTTTTAAGCGGTGGTGTCTCATTGGAGATGTTGGAACAGGTACTTTGAGACTTGTGACGTGATGAGCGAAGATGCCGCGTTAAGTGGAGAAAAATGCTGCGCGCCTCTTACACGTCGTCCCGTGACCTTTCCATTAACTTTCCAGCGCTACAACGAGCCTCGTCCAAGGCTACGAGCGGTTGCCTTTTGACTTTCTTTTTGGTTTATTTGCTCTTGAAGCAGCCAAATTCGTTTACTGCAGGCACCCAAGCATTTTGCAATCATGAATAACGATCAATTTCGAAAATTGATGCTGGCCAATTCGGCCAAGCCATCAAAAGATCGAGCTTCTCCCACAGGCGCGAGTCCTGGCAAGGATAAGGGATCATTAGGCTCTCGATCACGAAACAGCATCCCTATGACACCGTAAGCTACCGCAGTCAGACCCCCCCTGGTTGACAATGCTAATGCGCAGTTTTCAAGACGGTCATTAGGAGGTACACAAGCCGATTTCGCACGACAACTAGCCGAGAGGAACCACGCGCTACATCCGCAGAAGAAGTTTAAATCATCCACGCCAAGGGGAGTGAAGCTGGGGACAGGGTATATCGACAGATCGCAAACTCGCGAGGACAGCGAAGATGACCGAGAGGAGAGATTAAAGGCGCTTGAAAAAGCTCTTAAAGACGAAGAAATCGATCAGCCAACATATGAAAAGCTACGATTCCAAATCGCGGGTGGAGATCTTGGGAGCACACATCTGGTAAAGGGACTCGATTTCAAGCTTCTTGAAAGGATACGCAAAGGCGAGGACGTCTATGGAAATAAGGAGCCAGAAAAAGAAGAAACTGAAGATGCCGCTGAAGACGTGGACGATGAATTCGACGCGCTCGAAGAACGGGACGTACAAGCAATTGCAAAGGAAAAGGGAGAAAAGAAAAAGGGTAATCTCTCAACCGTGGCTCTGGCTCCAGGGAAGAAAAGAACACGCGACCAGATTCTGGCGGACCTAAAAGCGGCCCGGCTAGCAGCAAAGGCAGCGCAAGAATCAAACCTCGGAGACCGATTCAAGAAGATTGGAGCAAAACAAAAACCAGGAACTCGAATTGAAAAAGACAGTAAAGGAAGGGAAGTTTTAATCATTGTAGACGAAGATGGGCATGAGAAAAGGAAGGTTCGGAAGGTACAGCCCGAACAGGAAGATTCACGGAACGGCCTTCTAATGCCAGACAAGGATGCCAAGCCGTTGGGTATGGAAGTCCCTGAACAATATCGGAAGAAAGAGGAGGCAGAGGAAGACGATGGAGATGTGGACATCTTTGAAGATGCTGGCGATGATTACAACCCGCTGGCCGAAATGGAGGGGTCCGACTCTGATTCGGACGAAGAAGAGAGCGACAGCGACAAGCCGGAAGTAAGTGAGGAGGCTGGCACCAAAGAATCTATGCCACCCCCGCCAAAACCGTCTCTTGCACAACCAGAACGCCGCAACTACTTCAAAGATGCAAAGACGGGACTTATATCCGAGGAAGCAAACAAAGGGCCGTCTATGTCTGACCCGGCGATATTGGCAGCCATCAAGAAGGCAGCATCTCTCAGGCCCATCGAGCAAGAAGCTGAGGACGACAAAGCCAAGGAAGAGGCCAAAGCGCTGGAAGAACGACGAAAGAAGCTCCTTGAAATGCAGAACCGGGATGACGATGACATCGACATGGGCTTTGGCACTAGTAGATTTGAAGATGAGGAAGACTTTGATGATTCGAAAGTCAAGCTGTCAAAGTGGGGCGACGACACCGGAGAAGAGGGTTCAAGTAGAGGAGACAAGGCAAAGCGGAAGAGAGGGCCGAAGAAGCGAAAAGGCGACGCCAACAGCGCGGCGGACGTGATGCGGGTCGTCGAGCAGCGCAAGAAGTCTGGATGATGACAACCTGCCGCGGGAGGCCGGCAAGTCCAACATTGTCCGCCGATTTGACATGTCCTACTTCATACGCGCAGTTGGCGGACAAAGTATCAATTTCGAACGGCATCAGATTCTATAGCAGATGGATGAGCAAGCATTACCGCACTAGATACCCCAGTTATTGTTCAGCTTGAGAGAAATCGACCATCTATCGCGGAGCTCCGCGAGGGAGAATATAAAGGGTCCGGCATCACGTGTACTACAGATTACGGCTTCAGACGCCGACGTTTGCCAGCTGTTCTTGAAGTTCCGTCAAAGATGGAGCCTAGCGTCTCGGCTTGCCACTTTTATTATCAAATTCCAGACGCCAATGACACAAACTTTCGGTTCCTGGCGATGCTAGGCCTGCTAGCATCACAATGCGAATGAGGGGTCAGCCCGGCTCGCAGCCAGGTTGGATGGATTTGATGGGCTCTCCCCCACTCTGGAGCCTTGCGGCTGCGGAGAAAAAAAGAAGAAGCGGGTTTCCTGACGCAGCGAGTTGCCAGCCAAAAACCTAAGATAGCCTACGCTACCACGTTTGGTCTGCGAGGCTCGCCGTCAACCGACACCGTGGTGGCTGATTTCTCGATTTCGCCGTCTGGGGCTGTGGATTTCCACGATTACGGAGTATTGAAAAGCGTCTCGATCCCAACCCGAATTCTTTCTCCCGCGCCCTTCCGTGACCTGAACAAAGCATAGCTATAAAGAGGCCTTTAAGATACCGTAAAATCAATCGAATCAATAGAGAGCGTATCGTGTCTCCCGTCGTGCCACTTGTTACTTCGAGTCTTCTCCGAGTCTCTCACATCTGTTGAATATGGCGTCTGCTCAAGTGCCCGTTTGGCTGGACTGCGACCCAGGCCACGATGTAAGTTCCCCATTCCACTCCAGATGCTGAGCCTAGATGCAAGCCTCATGCAGAGTCGCATTGCATGAGGCGCCCGGCTGGTCGAGCCTAATCAGAGACGTGTGAGCTAACTGGATATTCTCCGCACAGGACGCTTTTGCCATTCTGCTGGCTGCCCATCATCCCAGAATCAACCTGCTGGGCATTTCCACAGTCTTTGGAAACGCTTCACTAGAGTATGTCGCTGGGAAGCTTGGTTGCTTTGCGCCTACATCGTCAATGACCACAGCTAACACTGAAACTTGCCAGACACACTACACACAATGCCGCCTCCATCCTGACAGCCTTTGGCAAACACAAGGACGTCCCCCTCTACGTTGGCTACAGCAACCCGCTCGAGCGACCTCCCATCCACGCACCGACAGACATTCACGGCGACAGCGGCCTCGACGGCACCGACCTTCTCCCCAAGCCCCAATGCACTCCGTCCACTGATTCCGCCATTGACGCCATGGCTGCTGCTCTCAAGGCCCAACCGGCCGGCACAGCCTGGATCGTGGCCACCGGCACCGTCACCAACGTCGCCGCCCTGTTCCGAAAGTATCCGGAGCTCATCCCGCACATCAAGGGACTGAGCATCATGGGAGGATCTATCGGAGGAGGTTTCTCAGACGCACCGCTCGGTACGGTCGATGGCAAGGAGCGCATCGGCAACACGACACCATATGCCGAGTTCAACATCTTCATTGATCCGGAGGCAGCGGCCGAGATATTCCACAACAAGGAGATTGCCAAGAAGATGTTCATGGTCCCGCTGGACCTGAGCCACCAGGTCCTGGCTACGGAGAAGGTCAGAGACCTTTTGCTGTACGGTAAGGACGGCGAGAAGACAGGCAAGGGCAAGACGACGCTGCGGACAATGCTAGTGGAGCTGCTTTACTTCTTTGCTAAGACCTATGCGTAAGATTTCCCCATTTGGACCTGAAGTATCTTGTTTTAGCTTTTACCAACTAACAAACCAAATAGCGACGTCTTTGGCATCACCGCCGGTCCTCCCCTCCACGATCCCCTCGCCCTCGCGGCCGTCCTCACCGGCACTCCCGACGAAATCGTCTTTTACGACTGGGACGGTGTCAAGAGCCAGGGCACCAAGCACAACGAACGCTTTGATGTAACCGTCATCACTGAGGGTACGGCCGAGGAGGCACAGCGCGGCGAGAAGCAGACCGGCCGAACGATTGCCAACGTGCTACCTGCCGGGGAGGCAGGTGTGAGGATACCCAGGGGAGTGGACGTGGATCAGTTCTGGAAGGTGATTGAGGAGTGCATTGAGAGAGCGGATGAGACGAACCGAAAGCTGAGCAATTAAGCAAGTTATGCATGCTTTGATACATTCCTTTTATTTTCTGGGATTTTTATCGTGTTATCTGCAATGGGAATCAAAACGGATAGATTGTTTTCATAGCAGTGGTCATTAGATTATTAGAGAGTCTAGATAAAAATACATGCTTTTTTGGCGAACAAATCGTTTACAAGCTTTCATTACAATGCCCCTTTGTCGTCTTTGTTTTCATCAAAGCTCATCAAGAGCCTCAAGCTCCGCTCATACGTCCACAGCGTAATTGCACTCGCAGGAGCAGCCTTGATCAAACTGATAGGCAGACCCTTATACAGGCCTCGCAGCCCCTCCGTCTGGAATATCACGCGTATAGCCCGGCCTGCGGAAGTATACACGGGGATGTCGTTGTACACGTACTTGCTCCGCGTGGGGCCCTGCACCTGGATGCGCTTGCGCACGAGGTCGAGTGGGAAGACGGCCGTCTTGGCCATGATGCTGGCCGTAATGCCGGCGGTGGCGTCGCCGCTGCCCCAGGGGAGGTGGAGGTCGCTGAGCTGCAGCCGCAGGCCTTCGTACGAGGCGAAAAAGATGCCCATGAAGGGGATGATCTGGGCCAGCGCGGGGCCCAGGCCGCGGAAGAAGCCCCTGAAGCCCTCGTCGCGCTGAATATCCCACAGAGCACCTCTGAGTGAAGTATACACCCTGTGCCTCCCCTGAGCGGCGAAGCGCGTCCTCAGCAGGTCGAGAGGGTACGTCACGCTCGTGGCCGCCGCTCCGGAGACGGCGCCAGCGACAAACGTCTCGGCCGAGTCGGGCAAGCGGCGGTGCTGGGGCAGCGCGGTCTGCAAGAAGACCGTCGTGGAGCGGTAGGCGGTGAACTGGGCGGCCGAGTAACAGACGTACAGGAGCTCGGCGGGGACGTTGCCCTTCCAGAGCCCCGTGAGGCCTTCGTGCTTGAGGATGTGCTTGATGGTGTGGACGGCGCCGCGGTAGGCGGGGGCTTCGCGGAGGGGGGCGAGGGGGTCGGAGAGGGAGTATGGCTGGAGCTGGAGGCGGATCTTGACGACGTCGAGGGGGGCGACGATGAATCTGGGAGAAAGGCGCATCAGCTGTTGTGTTCTTTGAGTTTGTATAGATGTTTCGCTGGAAGCTTACCGAGAGACGAGCCCGGCTATCGCGCCCGCTGAGACGACTTGGAGTTTTGAACCCTGCGCAAGTGATAATTCGTCAGTATGGAGAGAATGTGGAATTTGGATGGATGGACAAACCTCATCTTTGAGGTGGCCGCCTCGTGGCGACATGCAGGAGTTGCCGCTTCAGGTTGAGTGGGAGTTTGCGCAGTATGTGCTTGCAGCGTGCTTGATCGGTAGCGTAGCCAGTGGGATGAAGCTGGAAGGGATTGAAGTCTGGGATTCGAGCTGTATTTGACTATTTGGTTGTTTGATTCAAAGCTTGAATTCTTTGTTCAGTGTTTAGATTCGTTGGCGCATTGAACTACCAAGATAAGATTTCGAGATCGGACTGGAATGAGAATGATAAGGCAAGGGACAAGAGGAAAAAAAAAATACGGGAGCCGACGGAATGCGCGATTGAGCGCGATTAAACAAGGTGCAAATGCAGAATTGCGGTTTGTTTTGTTTTTTTACAAAAGTGTAATTTGATTAAGTTTGTGTTCTACAGTTCTGCCGTCATCATGGTTGATTTGTCGTATTTTTCTTCGTTACTTTTCTATGCTCAAGAGCTGACGTCTTTTTTTTTGGTTTGTTTGCCCGTCGTGACGCCATTGCCCGGGAACGAGCCGGGACCCCGTTGCGGCTTGAGGCGGAGAATCTGGAGAGTTTGGGGACGACTTGAGCTTGGCGCAATGACATCAAAGAATAATGCTAAGGTGCCTACAATGTTGTGATACTTTGATGTTCTTGTGGAGGAGACTGCTTTGAATCATGTATGAGGTCTCACATGTAAAAGAAAGAAGAGCCATGAGATGAATGGAATAAATAGATAGGACTGAATTACATGATAGGCATTCTGGCATGGATCTTCTCGAGGATCATGATCCATGGCGCAGGATCAAAACTTGTCATCTTGCACGCTATCGAACCCATGTCTGCACGTTCGGAGCACCCCGGCAAGACAGATTACAGATTACAGTATGTACAAGTATAGATGCAGTCTAGATGCTCACGCAGACATTAAACGCCAGGCCAGCATCACAGATCCAGACCGTGCCGGAGCCCATCGGCGCATTTCCCCATAGAGAGACGGCCCGGGACGGTGGTGCGAGAAACACGAGGCTCGGAGCCTGTCTGCTTATCGTCTTTCTTTTCCAACACGATAACAGCTCATACATAATACAAGATACTCATCAGATATCAGCTCTCATTTTGTTGTTCCAGAATTCGGATCATCAATTACGGCGGAGTGTCTCTTCTATTCCACCCAAAGCGGACAGAAGGAAGTGCGTCTACAGTATCTTGAGCTTGTACAGTAGACCAAGGTCCCGCCGATATGCAACCCCTCCGCGTGCTGGTAGGGATCTCGGCCTTTGGGGATCCCTGCGCTGGGTTCGTATACTTGGATGTACCTGCATCAGTTTCCGTATAAGTGCTAAGAAGCGCGAATAAGTAAGCAGCAATTTGAAATCCAGGCACAGGCGCGCTGCAGAATAGATATTGAGACAATTAACAGTACCATACACTTGGACCCCGGCAGAGGTTATCAGCAGCTTCTTCGGTGCCTTGTGAGATGCGGTAAGACGGGCATCTCCGTTGTCGCTGGCCAGCAGCAGCCTATCTGTAGTAGCAGTGCATATCTGGGTATGCAGGTATCTGTATCGGTGTCCGTACAAGACATGCCGCAGATTATTGAGACAACTGCGTGAACCCTGGCAATGGCCATCGGCGGCTCTCCAGGGCCCTGCGGGATGCAGTAAGACAGGCATCTCCGTTGTCGCTGCTCAAGCGGTGATCTGTGGCAGTACAGTAATTCTGACTGCTCCCTTCATCTTACAGATCCCGTACGACATAATCTACTTCTTACTACTGCTTGTGCCTACATACTAGTACTCTCCATCGCCAGATGAATATCGCCAACAGAGCATCTGCTAGTAAGTAGTAGATGCCAGTAATTACCTTAACATTAACAGAGCAGGTAGATGGATAATACGTTACTTACCCCCACTGACCACTAAAAAGGGAAATTGTTCAAGAAAATTGCCTTGTGACAATTGGTTCCATCTCCTCCTCATTCTCTTCCTTTTCCCCGGAGCGCCACACTGTCGCCGTCCATTGGCCCAACTACTACCTAACCTTCTTGTCTGCAGTGGGTACCTCGTCCGGGGGGCGCTAGGTACCGGCTACCAGCTGGCAGGGGCGCTTCACAGCCGAGTCTCACGCGCTGTTCCTTTGTACCGAGAACCCTGCCGCAGCCCTCGACGCTACCCCTGCGGTACTCGCTGGGGCACCAGCACCAGCACATGTGCGACCATTTCGCGGCCCATCCACGATGTCCAGCAAGTTGCATCTGACGTCTTGGAGGCAGGTATATTAACGCCATTCCGCGCTCACATGCGCCCTCGCCCTCTTCTCTTCTTTCTCCCTTTTCTTCCAGTCCTCTCTCCATAGTCCTCGCCGTTTTCTCACCGTATACCCATTTCACTTCACTCATCCTGAAACAAACAGGTCCACGCCCGTGGCTTTTTATTCCATCCACGTAGTTCCCGCGACTAAGCGTGCATGTGACGCTCGCCCCAAAATTCCAGTCCTCAGGAACCGACAAACCTTCAATAGACCCCTACTAAGGCCAAACTTTCTCATTGTGCCGCTGCCGTCTCTCCGCTATAGGCGTCGAAATTACTTCTCGCAAAAAAAAAACAAGGTTCTGACGCAAAAGTCTGTCCCGCGAAAAGGCGATAGCAAAAAATCAGAGCCGAAGCCTACCATGGGTGCAAGCATCACGCCTCCAGATCTCAGCGGGCTGCTGGCCCCAATCCTGCCCGCTCTCCCAACAGCCACTGCCTCGACCGAGCCGGCTGCGGGCATCCTGCCGCTCCTCTCGCCCATTCTCAGACAACGAGTGAAGCTGTTTTCTGCGGGCAGCACCGAGCCCTGGCTGAGGCTGCTATCCTACGACACAACCAAGGCGGCGCAGTTGACCGAGCTGGTGCAGAATGGAAGCCTGGAACCGCATCCTGTCTCGGGCGAGGTCGAGGTAGACTGGGACTACGATGTCGAGACAAGATACAAGCGATTGGATCAAGAGACTCTGCAGGCATTGACGGTCCTGATTGGTGTTGGGCTGGCCTTCCAGCTGGTGTACTGCGTCAACGACGAAGAGGGCGGCAGCGATGGCTGGAGAGTGGGCGAGGTGACTGCAGCAGACAAGGCCGCTCCCTTTGCGCAATTCGGCGGCGTTGCCACCATCGCAGAGGCAGAGGACAAGTTCCGGCAGCCCAGAATCTCCGAACCTTCTGGTGTCAGCTCCAACGGATCGACCACCAGCGGCTCAGATCACATGGAGGAGGACGAAGACGATGGATACTGGGACCGCTACGATGCCACTCCCGCGCGCACTCCGGCCGTCAACCGCTCTCCGGCTCCTCAGGCCGCCACTGGCACTTCTGCCACTGCATCAGCACCATCCCACTGGAGCGCTTATGATGCCTCTGCCGCAATGGACGACGATGACGATGACGACTACTATGCGCAGTACGACTCCGTCCAGCCGGCAATGGACAACCACGATCCAGACGAGGAGGCCATGGTGCGAGCTCACATCCAACCACCCCTCGGCCTCAGCCGCTCCAACGACTCTGTCGTGATCACAGACGCTCCCGTGCCCCAAAACCCCTGGTCCTCCACAGAAACAAACAACAACAACAACGCAAGTCAAGACGACGAACTGCTTTCCGCCAGAGAGCTCGCCCTCCTCCACCCACGCCCCAGATCCAGCGCCAGCTCCAGCTCCCACGGCTCCATCACCGTCGCCAAGCTCGAGGCCTCTGCAGAGAAGCAAGAGAAGAACGATTTCGG